GGTTGATGTAGTCAGGTCCATATCCCCTTTTTCGTACAATTACTTGCTTCCCCTTCAGTTCATCCAAGAACTTAGCTTGACCATCATAACATTTCCACCTGCATTTCCTAGTGCTCTGTTCAAATAAAAAAAATTATCATATATGTCTTAGCAAAAGAAATAAAATACGATTTCATGGTTACCATAAAAATAACCAACCTCATCATAATCAACCATATGGCCGCAATAATGGCCTATTCCAAGCTCCGAAAGGACTAGACCGTAGTTGGATTTAACACCACTTTCGCACTTAACTGGAGGTACTTTGTAAATTAACCTTTCTTTCTTCTTTTGCTTTGCCTTTGGAGGTTCTTCCAGCCATTGGTTCTTACTACCATAAAATCACTCCTTGAAACGACACTTCGCCATTGAAAACACTTAAATAAGGTGACATTAGTACATGAACACATATAGCTCAACATTTCAACACATACACTTTGCACTTACTTCATACTTGTTTGGACACACAAGCTCCAACGTATTCTCAGAGTTTATCACAGCTCGATCTCCGTAATTGCACAGAGAAGGTTCCTCGAGTCGTCTAATTGCGGTTAAGTGCTTATCCTTAGCCATCATTGCTTATCCTTAGCCATCATTGGACGGGGGTTAAGGGGAGGTGGAACCCACCGCTCGAAGTGCTCTCGTGGATGTCGCCCTCTTCATCAATCATCGAAAAGGAGGTACCTGGGGTCAAACTTGTCTGCACCATCGATCCACTGAAAGAAAAGGCACCTCTCATGGGCCTACACAACAAAATTCTAACAAAATATTAGTAACCTAGTAATACAAATGAAGAAAAAATATACGGAAATAATTACTAACATTAAAACGACTACATGTGTAGAAGCAACGAGCCGCTATGTCCGGATGTCTCGATTGAAACACGTCAGCCGGACGACCACAGTTAGGGACAGGGAGGTTAGGTGGGATGGGGGCATCTTTGCTAGACTCGTTGGGATACAATTCTCTAGGACGACCCCGTTTTCGCCACAACTGCTCCCGAAACATGTATTCCATCTAATAAAACGGTTCAAATTAAACATCAATCAAAACAACGCAAATTATTGTAAAATATAATCATTTGCATTGTAACTAAAATAATACAACCAACACTTATAGCAACAAAAATATACATGGTAAACATACTTCTAACTAAATAATTAACCTTAACATTGACAAAATCAAACTAATATCTTTCTCCAAACCGTAGCCCATAGTTTTCAAACATAATTTTCATCCTAATCTTAACTCTCATTCATAATATTCTAATCCACTATTTAAACGAAAATAAAAAGTGCATCATTACCTTGAACGAGGCCGAGGAGGGTGGGAGGCGGCCGGAGAATGGAAGGGAAGGGAGGGAGGGAGGCGGCAACGGAGGGCCGGGCGCCGACAACACTTGGGAGTGGCGGGCGGGCAGGCGGGGCGGCGGGCGCGAAGGCACGGCGGCCAGGCAGGCGGGCGTGCTCGGGCAGGCGGGACTGGGCCACGACGCTTTTAGTCGGCGCGTCGCTACCGCGCCACCGATCAGGGCGCGTTGCTACCGCGCCAAGCCCTACCACATCACCAGTCAGCATTTTCGGTCGTCGCCATGTCATCCACCCGCCGCGTCGCCATGTCATCCACCATGCATGGTGCGGCACAGGCTTTTCGCCGCGCCATGGCAATACGTGCGGCCAAAAGTGTTAGTTTTGAAAAAAAAAAGTGTTAAATTTAAAATTAGTTTACAAAAAGTGTTAAAATTAAAATAAATGCCTACACTGTAGGGGTTTCTGACACCTCACACGCGATTGCAATCGGCCGCAAGGGGTGACCTCTGGCAAATCCATCGCATCTGGTGGTAAGAGCAATCTTCCTCAACGATATGCCTAGGGCCGTCGTGACCACTCTCGCGGTCTCAACCACCGACCCATGGCGGTCTATTAGACTCGGGAGGAGCTGTGTTGGGCGTCGCTGGACGCGTTGGCAGAGAACGTCGATGTAGGAGGTGTCGGGGATGGCCGGGGAGTGAAGACTCCATGATGGCGCTGACAGACTCCTCCGCCATCGCTGTAGCCCGTGCCGATCACGGCGAGCCGGCCAGCGAGACGTGCCACATATGGTGCCTCTCCGAGCTCGACCCCTTGACGCTGACGCTGACGCTGACGCCGTACTCGGCGCCACACTTGTTGGTCACGACGTCACGGAGGACCCGATGCTGGCGGAGTTTGCAGTCTCGCTTGCTGCCAGCCGGCCGGACCGCGAAAGGCTATTCACTAGGGAGCCTATATTCAACTCCAGTGACGGTCTCTTCGGAAGATGGGGCCATCAGAGGCCACTTGCGTGTGCACCTACGCCCTTTTGGTAAAGCTGAAGGTGTAAACTTAGTACGATGACCGCCCTGGTGCCTCCTCGATGAAGTGTGCCGCTCCCTCCCGCCCCGCTCAGTTGGCAGGGGGCTCACCTCCATCGTCGCCGCTCAGGTCACCACGTAACTTTGCGTACATGTCCTGCGTCCATTTGAGATCTAATGCCTCTAAACTTTTCAAGCTGACCTGTCCAGACTTATATTCTCTAAACCACTGTTCACACATATCTTACTCAGCACAGTAAGTAGCAAAATGCAATCGTGAGTGCAATTTTTATAAAGTAATCAGACAGTCTCTCAAATAATCCGTGCCCAACAAATATAAATTGATGCCTTCACACAGTCAACAAGTACAAAAACATTTTTTTTAGAAAGTCATGGCTGCATTCAAATAGTACTCCACAAGCACCAAACATATTTATGCAGATTTTTGAAAAAAAAATGCGATTACTGATTTATGTAGCAACAAGTGCTACTACTGAATATTCATTTCAAGTATAGGCCACTTCACTTGTACAATTACGCCGCAAAAGACTACTAGTATAATTAGACCACAAAAAACTATAGTTATTAGATCATAAAAACAGTATAGTTAAATCTGTCCAAAATGCTATATGAAAACGTCAAACATTCGAGCTACAGGGCTGGGATGTTGGATCTTCTCTGAACGGTGGATCGTGGACATAAAGTTACGGAGTGACTTCGAGAAGCCAAGTTACCAAACGGGGAAATTTCTTATATGCCATTAAAAAAGATCGTAATGCTATATGAGCTCCTAGAAAAGTTCAGCGGTCTTCAGCGTCACTGCTTCAACTTTTTTATGTCTTCCATGCCACTGCCGTCAGTTTAGGTTCTAACGCCGTCAAACTGCAGTGTGAAAAGTCTAAATATGTCATTAATTTTTTTACATCAGATCTATAATTTTAATACAAAAAATTATCTTCATTTAATTTCACAAAAAATATGATTTGATATGATTAATATATCTTAGAAAAATTATATCTTTTTTGTGGAATTAAATAGAAATAATTTTTATATAAAAATTATAGATCTCGACGAGATCTATAACTTTCTAGTTTTGAGTTTTTTTATTTGAAGTCGTTAAGATGCTAAAAAAAATTAATGACATATTTAGATTTAAGAGTATTTTTGACTTTTTACACATGTAGTTTAACAGTGTTAGAGGTCAAATTAACGACAGTGGCATGGAGACATTAGAGGCCAAACCAATGACAGTGACACGGAGGGTAAAAAAAAATTAGAGCGCTGAAATCCGGTCAACTTTCGGCACACAGGATATTCACCCTTACCAAATCTGTGTCCCGCACAGCCCCGTCCTCGCGCGCCCGCCGCCGCGTCCTGCGGCCCTACCCCAGCGACTGTATCCACCGACGAGTGGCCCCGTGCGGTACTCGTCCTCCGCTCGTTGAGTCGTCGTTCTCCGTCCCACCGCGACGCTTCTCCGCCATGGCGAGCGACAGGCTCGGCGACCAGCCTTGGCGCTAGCGGGCCGGCTAAGGCGGCCAAGTGGGTGCGCCGCTGGCATCTCGCCACCCCTCGCGACGCTCGTCCCTTCTAATCCCTGGCCTCATCTCCATCAGTTCATTACTGGTCTCGCCCATGGCGATGGCGAATCTTCGTTCTGTATCCATCCTCATCTCCTCGCAACTACCAAATGCGAAGAAATGGCGATGGCAGAAATCCCTATATGTCGAGCACCGCCTCTGCCCTCCGCCCTCTTCGTGTTCTGTGGTAGTGATTCGTGAAGGAAAAGGGCAGCATAGTCTAAGGAGTCGAAGCAGATGCATCATCTCCGCTTGGCAAGCTCATCAATGGCACCAGGGCTGAACGAAGGTCATCAAACAGTGAGAACCAGGTTTCACAGACAGAAAGGACCATGTGGTCAGCAGCCACATCTGCGTCCTGCCGTGGCCAAGCATCGGCCACTATATTGGTTAAAGGCTGGCTTGTACTCAACGCGAAAATCGAACCCCCATTCCAATAACTTGCTCGTCCACTGATGCCGAGGAATCGTCGCGAGTCTCTGATCAAGCATAAACTTCAGGGCAGGCTGTGGTGATAACGGATAAGTGCAGGCAGAGGCAGCAAATTCTGTGCCCCAGAGATAGGGACGCCAATGGCGAACAGCCTAGACCACCAAACCAATCAACTCTCTCTCATACGCGGTGAGTTTTGTGTAGATATTTGAACTATGTATTTGCAAGTGTCAGGTATGAAGCAAAGATTATTTGTGATCTGTGACCATGCTACTGTATATGTCCAGAAACTAGTTTATGTTTTAATGAAGTCAAGATGGCATTTGGTACCAGTATAGTAAGTTACAGAAATACAAATGCCAGCCTTGTGACATTAAAATTAATTGTCTTTAATGTGAAGACGCTCATATCACCACGATCTTTGATCGTTTAAATGGTTACAGGAAGAAGAAACAAAAACAAAAGAAACTTAGGGGGCAACCCCTCCTGTTCCCTTCAAAAAAAAAATGAAAAGGTGTTTCATTACAAGTATGATACAGGGGACTATATGATCCACAACAAATTGATTCCTATGTGATTCAATGTTAGAACCTAGCTCCGTAGCTCCGGAGAGAGATTTACTTTTGCAGAGAAGGGATGTTCAGATCAACATTGCTGATGTTAATCCCATTGTACGCGATTGGCGCATACATCCACATGTCGTCAGAGCTCAACAGCTGCACATAATTGTTAGACATAAAGTTAGTGTTAAGTCACATTTTTACAGTATAATATTACACAGTTATTTGATTTTTGCATATATTCAGTCTTCTGACTTGCAGATGTTGATAACCCACCTTAATCTGAAGCTGTAAAAATTTGACATACTGTGCTGCTTCCTCGAGCATCGTACTAATGTCAACCTGTCAGATCATATTTACCCAAGTTAGGCATGAATTTGCATTAACCAAATTACATGACAAAATATATAAGGCACGAAAAAAAAGAATGTATTGAAGGTAAATAGAGTTCCATGAGGAACTTACTTTTGTTCCATTGGGAACCAAGTTCTGCAAGACTCTCAGCCTTTCATTGATCCTCTCTCTCCTCTTCTGCAGAATTCACATTTACACCCATCAGAATCCACATCAAGCCCCCGAGTCATTTTTGTAACTTGTTTGTGTTAACTTTTGCACACAAAAAAAATCTGAATTTTTTGTACTTACCCTTGCATAGAGACTCTGAGGATCAGTTGCTGCTCCGCGGTTGGCCCTGGTGCAGGTCTTCTTCAAGCTTGAATTCGTATTTACTTCAAAATTTCCCTCCTCGGAGGTGCAGCTACTAGAGCTTTGCGTGTCAACATAGGCATCGCCGCCATCCTCGATGCCAGTACAATCCTTTTTGCTCGCCTTCTTGGATTTCTTTGATCCCTGCATTGCATCAGTTAATGACTATTATAATTAAGCAAGGATCATAACACTGCAACTGAACTAGTCATTGACGCATAAGTATTTCTATGTTTATTTAGTACCTTCGTGGTAGCAGTAGCACTAGCCTTCCTCTTCTTAGTAGCAGGTGTATCGCTGGCTGCTTCTTCCTCTATGACTGATGAACGTTTGCCATGTAGAGAGCTCGGATCCTCAGTAAGGTAGGGGATAGCACAATGCGAATCGAAGCCGCTTGTGGGGAACGAATCAATAACTGGAAACTCAAAGCTCTCAAAGTTCTCGTTTGGATCAAGCAAACTGGTAACACTAGAACTATGGTCTGGCTGAGGCCAGCATTGTGGAGGGACATCATAGTTGAGACAGCTAGAGGAGGAGTTGGATTCAGTCTCAAGGGTGGGCAAGAACAGAGCTGCTATTGCTTCCATGGACTCATCCACATGCTCATACTCATAGTTGAAGCAGTGATCATCAGCTCCAAGAAACTGAGCCATCATGTCGATTTCCATCGATGGCGCAGATGAAGTGTAGGATCTCTCCATTTTAGTAATGTGGGAGGGCTCAAGGCAAGGAGAGGCTAAAGCTCAGAGAAATGCTGCTGCTGCTGCTACAATGCCTGAGTGCTCCTGCCGTGTGCCCCCCAAAAGGGTATTTGTAGGGTGCAGGCAGCCGTGCAGGTGGCCCCCATTGTTGACCAAGGATGGTAGCTTCACAATCAGCATCAAATTGTCTGGCTTTTTTAGCAAACAAAATTTATTCTTCAGGGTCAACCCCGTGGGGATGGTGTGTTAAGTCGTTGCAGCTGAACTCTTGATACCGACAGAATAATGAAAGCCGCATGCGCAATTATGTCGCGATATGCGAGCCACGGTATTGTATAATCTTCCAGGCAAGATTAGTAATGCTGAGATTGTTTATCTTGGGGAAGAGATTAGCTTGGCCATTTGAGCAATTACTCGCCGCAGATCGTGGGGAGTGGTGGTGAGCTGAAGTTAGAGGTGGAAGGCAGGAGAGATTGTGTGAATTAAGTTCTTGTGGTTGCTGTTAAGTTCATGTCACCTTGTGCTTCCCGTGGAGGTTGCAGAAACAATTGTCCCCATTTCCAGCAACTTGAAGCGCTGTCAGATCCCAAACATAGGGAGAAAGACATATTCCGTCGCGCAGAACTGCCGGTGACAAATAAATTTCTGCCTTCATATTTGCTATTGTAAAATGCATGTGGCTTCAATTATAACCTCAAACTATCACTTTATGAGCAAATCGTTTCTAACCATGAATTAGGTTATTGACAGAGTTGATTAGCGGTGGCTAATCTTGGTACTATGAACTTCACAACACCAATTCAATTAGAGACAATTTCCTCTGTGCCATTAAAAAAAATCGTAATGTTCTGTGTGTCTCTGAAAAAGTTCAGCGGTCTTTAACGCCACTGCTCCAACTTTTTCGTGCCCTCCATGCCACTTCCGTCAGTTTGTCCTCTAACGCCGTTAAACTGCAGGTGTGAAAAGACGAAAATGCCCTTAAGTGTAAATATGTCATTAATTTATTTTGAGCATCTTAACGACTTCAAATGAAAAAACTCAAAACTAGAAAGTTGTAGATCTCGTCGGGATCTATAATTTTCATATAAAAATTATTTTCATTTAATTCCGCAAAAAAATATATGATTTGATATGATTAATATATCTTAGAAAAATCATTTTTTTTGCTGAATTAAATAAAAATAATTTTATATGAAAATTATAGATCTCGACGAGATCTACAACTTTCTAGTTTTGAGTTTTTTCATTTGAAGTCGGCTAAAAAAATTTAATGACATATTTACACTTAAGGACATTTTCGTCTTTTCACACCTGCAGTTTGACGGCGCTAGAGCCCAAACTGACGGAAGTGACATGTAGGGCACGAAAAAGTTAGAGCAGTGGCGCTGAAGACCGCTGAACTTTTTCAGAAACACACAAGGCATTGCGATCTTTTTTAATGGCACACAGGAAATTCCCCCGTTCAATTAAGGCATAAGTGTTCCCTTTCTGTCTTGTCAATGCTAATCAATTTTCAGGAAGCACAGCCTTACCCCCTCCAAACTCGGTATGAGAGCAGTCAAAGGCCTGTTCGGCAGGACTGAAAAATACTGTTCCGGCTGATTGTTGTGAGAGAAAAATACTGTTCTAACATGACGTGAACAGTGATTTCGTGAAGTGGCTGGCCAGCCAGGCAGCCGGCCACCAGCCAGCCGAACACTGCCAAAGGGGTTGCACTTGCACCTGCTGTCCGGTTCAGGCAATGTTATTGGAACGGAATTATTGTTATTCATTGAAAATAAGTAATCAGTTTTCGAATAGCTAAGCACTACAATTAGGCGTCAGTTGTATGATTCAACTGTTTTCTCATTGTTGCATTACTTGTTGGTACTCAATCTTCAAGTACATGCAAATACTAGTAGTTAGTAGCATTCAACTTGAATCACGCATATATTTGTTGACATCGTACACAGTGAAACTTATGGTTATCGTACTTTTATTCTTCTTAATTTCAACTTTGTGGCTCTAATTGTTTCCGTACAAATCATACCATTAGAACTAGGTTATTCTGAACCATAAGCACAATCATTTGTACTGTTTTTTGTTTTGCTCATTGCACCTCGTTCTAACTGTGTTACGCAAGTGGGCCGTGGGCTGTCATTTGTGATTTTTTTTAATTTTAACACTTTTTGTAAATTAATTTTAAATCTAACACTGTTTTTTTAAACTAACACTTTTGGTCGCACCTATTGTCATGGCTCGGCGAAATGCCTGTGCCATGCAGGGAGGGGAGGTGGTGAAGAAGACCGGGGTCACGACCGGTGACGTGGCGGTGGTGCATCCACGCCACCGATCTTGACGCGCATGGCATCGACGCGCACGGCGCGGCGGCAGACCTGAGACACGACAATAAGGGGCTGATGTCGGTGAGGATCGGCAGCGACGCGATCATGGACTATGGACCCCGGCTTCCTCGACCCCTTCCTGGTGGGCTCCGACCAGGTGCTCTAGTCCGACATGGGGTCACGCAGCACGGTCGACTACTGCACGTCTAACTAGGGTGCCTTCTTCGGCGATTTCGTGGCGGCGATGACCAAGCTTGGGAGGATCGGGGTCAAGACGCCGGCCACCGACATCGAGATACGCCGGGACTGTCGGTTCCCGAACTAGTTGCTACTTAATCTCGCCGGCAGTGTTGCCGCGACGCATTGAAACGAATATGAAGCAAATAAATGCAGTCCGTGCGCAAGTTGACAAGCTGCCACATAAAATTTTCATTGGGTTGACATAAGTTCGACGTAACATAACCAACTAAGCTTGCAAGTTTCGGACGTCAATATTCGTTCAACCTAACAAACTAAGATCCAAGAGTGTAAGGATCTCTCGGACGCCTCTGTCTCTTCGGATTTATTGGCAACACATTGGGAGTGTAGCCAACATCGATATGGTCATGTCGCCGATGCGTACGGCTCGTACCCTGCAAGTATATGATATGCACGATTACTTATAATCTTTATGATCGTTAGTTTATGGAGCCTACATATTTAAAGAAACTAGCTTTGTTAGTACCTATGAGGCTCCTTGGGTACTAAGTGGAGCACCACCTAGCTGAGACATGCCGATCTCGTCCTATGGCCAATCTTCCCACTGGTCATGCTGTCTGCGGAAGCCCGGGGTCATCGTCGTCGTCATCGTCGCCCTCGGTTGCAGGGTCCTTCCCATCGCTATGATGTGGTGGTGTATGCACTGCGAAAGTGGCATCTGTCACCGGCTGAGAAGAGCCGGCTGGTGTCCCCAAAGAGGCTGAAGACGTGCCATCCGACCGCGCCAGGAGTGGCGGTTCCATATAAGGAGTGTCCATACAGCTCAGCTTCTGAGCTAGCTTCCTGCCGCTCTTCTTCACCTTCTGCATAAATAGACATTAAAGTTAGTGCATTTCCCAAACACATATATACTAAAGAAACATTTTTGGAACGGACAAGTTTATGTTTATCTCCACAAAAGCCTCGAGAACGCCTGGCCCCTGCCCTCTAGACTCGTGTAGCCGGAACGCTGCTTCGTTGGACATCCTTGACAATTATGTCGCCTGGGTACAGAAACACGCGGTTGAACAGTTTTAGTACACATACTTAATACCAAATGGATAACAAATTGTACCATTCAAGTATCTTACCAGATATCTTTTAAGCAAGGCTCTCTGTAGCTGTGTGTCCTCCCTAGTGGCAACGTCGTACACATATTCGATCACATCTTCCTCCGAGTCCTTGGCAATCGTCTTCTCAGTGTACGGGGGCTTGATATGTGTCCTCGTAGACCTGTGAAGCCACCGCAGGTACTCGTCGAAGATGTGCTGGCCGTGTGGAGGATCCGCATGGACCGGCTGCCATTCTTTGGTCTCCCACAAGTGGATGTGCGCGTTGTGTGTCACGCGTCAATCCTTGGTCTTGCACCTCTTTCTGTGGTCATACCTACAACAAAACGTTGTTAGTTGTACCACACACACCTCAGAATTGTAGCTTTGTTATTAATCGATAACGCACCCGTACAATCCTTGGTTGGTGGAGTAAAGCAGTGGTGGGTAGCCTGTCATTCTTTCAAACTGTCTGCAGACCCTAATGGGCAAGTGAATCTCGACCACGTGGAAGAAAATAAGAGGGACGTTGCAGCGATACTCGTCTGACTCGTCCCTAGTGACAGGACTCAGATAGTACTCGAGCTCCGGAGCATCCCAAGGACACCAATGCACCTGAACATTTCGTAATTTCGTAATTGAGTTAGGTTGTAACCAATGCACTTGAACATTTCGTAATATAGTGTACATCGAATAAGACACATGTATGATAGTAAAGAGAGCGTAACCTGGTGCTGTGTCAGGACGTCGAGACCGTCTGTGTACTCCCTATACTTGCGTCTCGTATTCCCTCTAACTAATTCTACTTCCGTCCAGATATACAGAGTTGTATGGAGTGTATCCTGCCTGTTCCATTGCTGCATTGAACACGATAATAAAATAGCCATTAATAATTTAATCATATGTAATCGCCTCGAAGAATATAGTGAACCGAAGTACTTACTGATAAACCAGTATTAAGAGGTCTCTCAACGGGCCATCGTTCCCAACACCAAACCTTGAGTAGGTAGGAGCAACCCTAAGGTTCGCATACCCTGAGGTGCGACGGCAGGCAACGCATAGCTGTCGATACGTCCATGTCAGGACTGCGCTGTCCCAGCTGTACGCCGCTATGTTCTCCCACGGCTGGCGTTGTATGTCAAGGAAGATCCAGCTGATGGTGTTGCCCGAGGCGTCTGGGAAGAGGAAAGCACCAAGGAAGTGCCAGAGCCACACTCTAGCGAACCTATCGATCTAAGCCTCCTTAGCCTGTGGGTCCAGGTAATCAAAGCGCTCTGTGATTTAGGACGACGAAACACCGGAACTTTTTCTGAAATTGATCAAGAAAATGAGACCCGATGACTACAGAGAAAGCAATGCAAATATTAAATATGCTACTTTGAAAGATGAG